CTCATTCAACACTCCTGTGTACAGTATACCAAAGGCACACATGTTAATTTTCTCATTCAACACTCCTGTGTACAATATACCAAAGGCACACATGTGAATTGTCTCATTCAACACTCCTGTGTACAGTATACCAAAGGCACACATGTTAATTTTCTCATTCAACACTCCTGAGCACAATATACCAAAGGCACACATGTGGATTGTCTCATTCAACACTCCTGTGTACAGTATACCAAAGGCACACATGTTAATTTTCTCATTCAGCGCTCTGGTGTATTTGGTACAATATGCAAAAGACACACATGTGAATTGTCTCATTCAACACTCTGGTGCATTTGGCATGTTGCCAGCGATATGTGGAGGCAAGCTACATTAAGTTCATTGTTCCTTTTAAAGATAATCTTCATCATACATTTGACATGACTGTAAGTACTCTGATCTCCTTTACTCTACATTAGGCTTGCAGCTTAGGGGTTGTTGCTTTACACTTTGTTTTAGCACTTCCTGTCAAGTTATGTTAACCCAGTCTCTCTCTGTTCTAAGACTTGCGCCTGTTGTAACACTTGTGCCTGTTGTAACACTTGTGCCTGTCGTAACACTTGTGCCTGTTTAACACTTGTGCCTGTCGTAACACTAGTGCCTGTCGTAACACTAGTGCCTGTCGTAACACTTGTGCCTGTCATAATACTTGTGCCTGTCGTAACACTTGTGCCTGTCGTAACACTTGTGCCTGTTTAACACTTGTGCCTGTCGTAACACTAGTGCCTGTCGTAACACTAGTGCCTGTCGTAATACTTGTGCCTGTCGTAACACTAGTGCCTGTCGTAACACTAGTGCCTGTCGTAATACTTGTGCCAGATTGTGTTCAATTATCATGCCATCGTCCTGTACCTTGCTATATCAGAGTGAAGTATAAACAGTTCCCTATGCGGGTTCCGGGAACCCCATTGGGGGAAAACAGAACAGATCCAATGCCCCCTAACAACCATGTGGTAAAAGATGACTAACTAGCGGTTTTCTGAAATCATATATATATTGGGCTCAAAGGCACAGATATTGCATCTTAGCTGTAAACCGCATCACCATGCCAACCACCCTTTTAAGTGAGGATGCAGTAGAAGTGCTGTGAACACCAAGAGAGCGGCCATTTGTATGGTTTATGTCAGGGAATTCCAAGGGAATTTGCTATTCTCTCATTCGCATGGTTGGCCTCTCTTTTGACTCCTGCTAGGTCTGTACATCATTACTTTTTTTGTGTGCTGTACTGTCTGTTGGCTCCCAGGTCGACCCAGTCTTGTGTGGGTACCGGGTGCAGTCCCCAGAAGTAAAGGCGGCAGGCGTGATGCTGACCCCATCACCTATCTTGTGCCGATTAGTCTATTAAAAAATATAGGTCTAGCCCTATATGCCTAATGGCGTGGAAATATGTTAGGATCTTCTGTGAGCTTTCTAATGTGCTGTGTAAGTTAGTAACAGCGGCTGTATATTTTTCATTCATATGTATAAGAGACATAATATTTCATATTGCAGAGTTACTGTATATATTTAAATGTGTAATTATATTTTTTTCATATATTTGAGAATAACAACACCATATGTACGATGTTTTGGAATAACTATTCCATATTTCAGAGTAACAGTTATATATTTCAATGTATTTATGAATACCTGACAAGAATGTTGTTGATGAATTCCAATGTTAGAACTGTTTAAGTATTCCAGGTTGCCCCTTTCTTTTTTGTCATTGGTGATGGAGTTGTTTTCCCCTGGTGTAATCACTTGTGCTGCTAGTGGTCAGTAGGATTGCCTCCCCTGATTCATTGGTGATAAATAAAGCCTTTCCCATACTGCAAGAGTAATAGTTTGTGTTTCTTGTTTTGCCTTGTTTCTGTACAAACGTGAGATGAGGAGTTGTTGGGTGTTCATTATCAGCATGTGCCATGCCAGTAAGCATAGGCCAGGGCTATTCAACTAAGTTTACTAAAAAGCCAAAACTGGAAATTTGGATCGTCACGGTCCAGAGCCGGAGCCCCAGCATAGAAAGAGCATTAATACAACTGGCAATGATTTGCAATCACCATTCCATTCTCACTTTGTATGCCCTATCCCCAGGGTATATGCGCTATCTGTTCTCAGAACTTGTAATGAAGTCAGGCCCAGCTCCGCCAATTTACACACTTATGACTGACGGAATCCGGCCAGGACACTGTAACTGGACATTCATTCTACATTGTAACCTTTGAGGTGCGCAAGTTTAAGTGGCAGGGGCATCAGCTCGGTCGACGATCTTACCGGCAACCACGCAGGCACTATATATTGCAGGAGGTGAATGCTTTTAACCGCCCCATAACATGTACAGCTGGCCTTAAGCCCAACCCCACACACTGAACCTAGGTCCCACGAGAGAGTGCATTCTACACCAGGACACCCCTCTAACCTTAAGCAATGTTGTGACCAAGGATGAATGAAAGGTGACCTAGTGTGTAGATGGGCAGAGCTGGGCCTGACTTTGTTACTAGTTCCACATTCTCACTTGCTGTGTTCCTAACCCCCATCCCCTCACCTCCAGGGTATATGCTCTATCCATTCTCAAACTTTCTCAAAGAGCCTCAACAGTCTTGACTTCTAGTGAAGTAACTCAAAGCCAACTCTGTCCTAGGCAAAGGCACTTCCCAAAAACAACAACCTGCATACATGATCAGCCTTGTCCAGATTTTCTGTAGCTGGATATTTCATATTAGCAAAAGATATTATATTATTGATACCAGAGATGATTTTAAGCAAAAGTGTCAATTAAATGTCAGGGAAGAACTTTATTTACAATCTTTTAATAATTTTATAGTCAGTGTTTCTGATGTGACATAATTATATATGTTTATACAGCAATCAAATATTCCCCAACAACCAAAACCAAAACCACTTTCCCAGTACCACATCCAATATAACATGATATACCTGCATAAACAGAAACACCACATCAACATACAATATCTGAATGTTAAGTGACCAGTTTTATTCCACTCACTGTCTATACTGCCAGTAGTGGGGTTTTTTTTTTAAATTGTTTGTTAAAGCTAGTTGTGTCCTTTACAGAACCAACCCCAGCCAATTTTGGGCTTTTTTGTGATTTCACTAGGCAGTTGTAGCTTTAGAAGTTTGCTGCTGCTTTTTGAATGGTTGGCGCTTGATACCCTAGGCGGTCTGTTGCCAAATCGTCCACAGCTGCACCCCAGAATTATGAAGTGCGTTTGAAACACCTAAAAACACCTATATTACCACTTTTTAAAAATGCCATAGCACAGAGGATTTAGGCCCGCATATCCAGTGTAACTGCTTTGAACTGTGCAGATTAGGATGTTTATTTTCGCCCTCGACGGAAAAAACATCCATTACCAAGGGTTCAAACCAGGTCTTCCACATGATAGCCCAGGGTTCTAACCACTTCACCAGCCACTTTTTATTTTTAAATACATCCCCATACAGGTTCTGGGCGCCCCCATCCCCCACATTTTGGTTCATGTGTTATCTCAGTATATAGAGAGAGATGTTAATGGCTTTAGTAATTCATGAGTTGAAACAAGAGGATGATTTAAATGTCATAAAAACCAAGTCATTTAACTGAAGAAGTTTGCTGTAAAAAGTACCAGCTGGGTATTGAGTCTCCGGATGTAGGGCTGCATGGCTAGTGCTGTCGTCGTCAATGTGGCAGGACAGGATGTTTATTTTTCTGCCACACACAGACATTCACACAGAAAGAAAAAACTTCCTTCACCTTACCAAAGATTTGAACTCAGGTCTCCTGCACGACAGCCCAACATTCTAACCACTCTGAGTGTTTACCAAGCTTAAATCATCATCATTTTTGAGAACAATAATAACATGTTTCTGTAAACATGTTTTCTCCAACAAGAAAAAAAAATTTCACAGCACAGATCAGGAAAACTTGAAATTTTCTGAGACAGGGAAAGAGGGAAATGGATTTCACTAGCTTCAGAACAGATCAGAAAATGGACATTCTCCCAAGAAGGAATCCCATAAGGAAAAAGGAAGATATCATCACAAAGGAAGCTCAGATGAGAATCACAGAATTTAGTCAGTTAAGGTAGGAAATAGAAAAGATGAAATTAATGCACAAGAGGGCAAGGCTGCAGATGAAAACATGCTGCAAGCCTGGAAAACATACAGTTGGTGCGAGGAATGTGTTCATTCATACTACATGTATTATTATTATTACCCAAGGGTATCATTTTTGATATCTTTGCAGCAGAACTCCAAGAAAACAACTGTTTATACTGTTGATATAACTCGTTCATCCTAAGAATTATTAACTCCTTCTATAAACTCCTTCTGTGAATCCCAGCCACTGTGCGATGTGTTCTTTATCTTTCTGTCATTTGGGTATAGCTAATCACATCATGTAGCAGGTCCTTTGCAGAGCAATACTCCCATCATGGTCTGCCTGAAAGAAATTTCAGTCCCTACCCAAGGTGTCCACTTATATCCTGTACTCACCTTCGTACCAGTCAGCCCCTGCCCATCTTTCCTGGTACCATGTCTTCTGTCATTATTCTTTCCAATCCAACGTGACACCTGATACGACCAAAGATGCTGTTTATTAGCTAATTTTCTTTAATGTTCACATCTTTTAGGACATCAGTATTTCTTTTCCTCTTGGTCCATGGCATTCTCACAATTTTTCTATAGTATTTCAGCTAAAAAGCCTCTAATCTCTTTCTTAATAACTGAGAATGTATAGGTATAGCTTACTAAAAAAAAATACAGCTTCCCTAGTAGCCATTTGTCTCATATAAAGCATTGCAATCTTCATAAATATTTTCACAGTGACTTTTCCCGGCTGTGCACTTGCTGCATAAAACTGCTGGCACTGAATGAGCTTTAAAAAAAACTGTTTCCCAAAGAAGAAGATGTGATTTCCAAAAAGATGTCTTTTATAGGTCTCTGCTAAAGAAGTCTGTCTCCACCAGAAAATTAGCCCATCCTCACAGCGTATTGATTTCTCCAACAATGTTGACTTTTCTTTCATTGTATTTCTTAGAGATCTCCTCCTCCAGCTGAAAAAGACAAGAACAGACACTTTATCTATGAACAGATTTATAACCACTGATCTGAGGAGATGAAAGCAATGTGTACATAAGTCAGCAAGTACATTTCAGAAATGGCTTCCAGGTTGATCCAATCTTGAGTGTGTACCAGGTAAAGTCCTGGGAAGTGAAGGCGGTCGGCATGATGCTGACCACATTACATCACCTGCCAAGTGGTCTATAAAATACAGGTCTGGCCTTTTACATATGCCCAGTACGCATAGGCTCCTATACAAGAAAGGCTCCTTTGAATTTCAGAAATAGTTGTCTGTGGTTAATATTCGCATCACTACGTAGCAGAACCATCGACCTTAATGTTTATTATGTCGTAGAACATCACTACTGCATACTCATGATCTAATAACATTTCTATTATCACGGTAGAACATCACTACTGCATACCCATGATCTAATAACGTTTCTATTATCACGGTAGAACATCACTACTGCATACCCATGATCTAATAACATTTCTATTATCACCGAGCTATTGGCACTCGATGGATGACATTATCAGGCAATCAGGTCATCATAGTTCCAACCTCACAGCAAACGGCTCACGCCATAGCTGCTCCGTGCCTGTGCCAACAAAAACCAAAGAGAATGTCGGCTATCCTCCGAATAACGGTCCTAAATTATCGAGGCGGAAAATATACCCTAACAGGGCCTCAGTCACGTGTCAATTGCGGACTTCCGTCGTCTTAAATTGCGTGCTTCCGGCAACTTCCGCCGCCGCCGAGAGTATCCCCCACACCGTTCACGCGGCGTGGATTGGGGCTAAACTAGATGGCTGGGACTCACGAGCAGCAGCTACTGCATCTCCTGTAGCTTCCTTCATTTCATTTGCTCGTGAGTCCTAGCCATCTCGTTTAGCCCCAATCAGCATGGGGGGATACTCTCGACGGTGCCGGAAGTTTGCAATTCAGCGGTGGCGTTATAGTCCGCGGAAGTGCGCAATTGACACATGACTGAGGCCCTGTTAGGGTATATTTTCCGCCTCGATAATTTAGGACCGTTATTCAGAGGATAGCCAGAATGTCCATCACTGTCCCTTGTGAAAAAATTTGACACAGATTGCACTTTTAGCCCATAAACATGCACTAAATGCATAAGGCAGCAGTCTGCAGCTCCAACACCAACAGTCTGTTACTAGAAATTTTCTGAATCTGCAGTTCACAAAATCCAAGTGGGGCACAGTCAAAAGACATTCCAAATGAAATCCACAGCTTACTGTATCGTGCCATGCACTCATTAGCTAGCTGGGCGACAGAACAATATTCTTTCAGTCAATAGATGGAGGAAAATGCAACAGCTAACTATTTTTAGATGCACAAATTTGCCACGACTTAATTAAAAACAGTAAACCTGCCTATCCACCATATTGAATGATCATCTAGCTGGCAGCCTGCAGTTGTTAGAACATTTCTCCTGGAAGCCATTTTATACTGGATCACGCTGGGAGCCCTGGTCAGTTAGAAACATTTATCCCAAGACCTTCAGGCCAGCAGGCAAGTAACTAACCACTGCGCCACTGTGGCTTCCAAACAATAAATGTAGTTGTCATAAACATGGCTAAGGTTAACTCAGTTTCTAAAATGCTTTATTTATATCTGTAAAATTGTGATATCTAAACATGGTTTAACATTCTCACTCGGAGAAAGCCGTTTTTCTGGCTTTTATGGGTTTTTGCTGACATGTTTTTAGACAGCACCCAGTACCTCTGTACAAAATCTTTTGTGCTGGTGCTGGCTGTAACTGGGTGGTGTGTAGACATGGTGGGCATGATTATGTTTAACCCTCCCCCCCCCCCCCCCCCAATTTGATACTAGTTGGGGTGAGAAAAAATACTTTCTTTTCACTGTGACATCATCATAAATTTAGGATGATGTCACTTTGCTCTCTGTCACTGTGTCAAAAAAAAAAAAACCTGTTTTCTTGGTCAAAGGGAAGAAAGGCAGTTGTTGCTCTGTTTGCAGTAAGTGATTATTTCCCTTGACATAAAAAATCATATTTGCGCAAAATAATAACCCTAGTTAAGACAAATCCGTTTTTTTTTAGTGATTTGGGAACCATTAGTTGCTAGCAGGCTTGCCTGTCTGCTTGGTGGTTTCAGGTTTCAACCACCTTGATTTTTTTTATTTTAAAAAAAGAGTCTAAATTTCTTCTGCTGCTTCTTCTCTTCCTCTAGTGTCTTGGGACAGTTTCAGAGGATTACAGCGAAGCAAAATTGTGAAAAGGGTCATTTTTAAAGATTTTTATGTGGCAAAAGGGTTAAGATGTATTTCAAATACTACTGTATATAAACTACAAATGTAAGAAGTATTACTGGGGACACAGTATTAAGAGGAAGTATTACTGCAGACAGATTAAAACAAAACACAGCTGTATTAATAGGAAATACTACTGTAGATAGATTAAAAACAAATACTGCTGTATTAAGAGCCGTAAATAAGTTGAAAATATTTATGTACTCAGGTTCCACACATGGAGCACCATTATATTCAGGCTAAACGTATAGCATCCCTTTAACCAGGCTACACGAGCTGGTTTTTATTGCCTTCCGTCTGCAAACATTTCTGAACCCAGGCTACATCTGCCAAACACCACTACATTCATTCTACAAACATCTCTGTACCATCTTTGTCTGGCTACAAATAATGAACACAACTATTTACTGGAATACCCCTAGAAAAAAGGAAAATGAGGAACATTAAAACAGTCCCAGAAAATATAAAAGGGACAAGACATCAGAAACTGGACATAATACTCATATCTGCACAAACTGTAGAAGAAAATAAAATGCTGGCATAAAACAGTAAAATGTATAATTCAGTGATACAGAGTAAGTACAGCAAAGGAGGAGGGGTGGAAAGGAATACCACAGCAACCTCCTAGATTATTGGAAAATGTAAAGACAAAAGTAAAGCAGGGATCAGCTCACCTGTTTTTTAATAATCTTGGTCTGTTTTCTCAGGATCTCCAGCTGAGGTTCCAACTCTTTCTCCTCTTCTATGGCTTCCAGCCTGGTGCCAGCCATCTCCTTCTCACTCAGCACCATCTTGTCTGCCAGCACCAGTTTTTGTCTCAAGGAGTCTCGCAGACGATCCACATACCTGCAGATGTTAGTTTACAGCAGTGGAACTGTATTTCTGTATGGAAGCTTCATAAATATACAGAACTATTCAACTGAGCCTTGTCATGAATTTGATGCACTGGGCAATTTGATGCACTGGGCAATTTGATGCACTGGGCAATTTGATGCACTGGGCAATTTGATGCACTGGGCAATTTGATGTATTGGGCAATTTGATGCACTGGGCAATTTGATGCACTGGGCAATTTGATGCACTGGGCATACAGTGCAAGGTCAATATTTTTAATAGATCAATCTGCACCCGATAGGCGACATGGTCAACGGCATCTAAGTATACTACGTGTGCGCAAATATATCAGATAATGTCAAGTGTTAGGAATGTGTGAAGGAGAAAGTGTGTATGTGAATGTCTGGTCTGATCTGGTCTGGTCTGCTATGCTCTGGTCTGGTCTGGTATGTGTGTGGATATGAATGAGTATATATGTGTTCTGCCCCACTTCCCCCCCCCCCCCCCAAAAAAAAACTGACAATTACCGCCTTTATTATAGCATTCTGGCAGTGTAGGCAGGGGGAGTCTTTGAGCCTGAGGACTTACGGCCGCATGGCTAGTGCTGTCGCCACGACTATGCAGGTGAGGATTTTATTTTGCCCCCAAAAGAAAAACTCCCCAGCCTTACCGAGGATTCAAACCCGGGTCTCCAATGTATGTGTTCATGTGTGTCAATCTTTGACACGTGTGTCAATCTTTGAATATGTATATGTATGTGTGAATGTTTGTGCGTGCATGAATCGTTGTGTGGTATGTGAGCGAGTGTCTGTGCAATATGAGTTTAATGTGAAATAAACTTGCAGTTTATGTCTTTTTCTTTGTCTTCTTTTTCACCTTCTTCTTCTTTTTAATCTTCTTCTTCTTTTCCTTCTCTTCCTTCTTTTTTTTCTTCATTTTTTTTTTTTTTTTTGGGGGGGGGGGGGGGTCTGAATTGGACATCTGCAGTACAACCATTCACTTTTCTCTGTCATCTGGTTTTGTTTTTTGCTTATATTATTACCTGTAACCCAAGTGTTCATGCTTTCCACAATATTTGTTTCTGTCTTGCCTGTGTCCCTCTTGTAGTCCCCTAGTGTCATTAAATTTCCCAAAAGGTGATCAAGCAGCTTTTAGTCGGAAATCTTATAAGTAAAAGTTACAAAATGTTATTAGCATATCCTGTACAGGATGTCACAACTAGTTCCAACAGTGGCCATTTGCAATTTTACTAGGCAATTTTACATTCATTAGTTTGGGTTGTCTTTGAACGGTACTCATATTCTTCTTCTTCATTTCTTCTTCACATTCATCGGTTGTAAAATTCAGGAGTAAGTCCTGGTTGTTCGCCCACTTGTGGGCTGTGGTCTTATTCCACAGTTGTCTGTGCACATGCATATTACAGATGTGACTTGTTTGTAAGCAGACTGCTGGTTTCTACCTCTCAACCAGACACACACTGACTTCAAAGGAAACACCCCCAAATAGTGGCCTTTTACTAAATGCTTTTTGGTGGGGAAGGGGAGGGGCAGCCGGTCTTTTCTATTACCCTAAAAAAGTAGCCCTGGAACTCTCTGCAGTGAACACTGATATCACCGGCAAAATCAAGTCAATATTCTGCCAAATCGAAGCTGATAGGTTGAATCTCAGAATGGATACAGTGAAACTAACAAAGAAAAATGTTTCCTTAGACTTTGGCACTATACAATAGGATACAATAGGACCACCATATTTTTTAAGTCAGTACAAAAAATAAAAGATTTTTTTTTTAAATCAACATAGCACTGACCCACCCTCCAGCAGGAAGAGCCAGAAAGTTATTGACTCACCCCCCCCCCCCTCCACCATCACTATACAGAACCCCCAACTAACCTAGGTGAGTCTCTGATCAACATCAGGTGCTCCATCCGCACAGAGGTCATCTGGTCCAGAATATCCTTGACCTTAGTCAGCATGGCCGTGACTGTCTTCAGGTCCAGGTGGATCTCACTGGGAGCAGCCGACATGTGACTGCTCTCCCCACTCTCATGGGCCAGCTCATTTGATCTCTGCCTTAGAAACGCTTGCAGCTGTAAGAGCACACACCAAACAAACATGTCTCGTTATACAAGTAAAAGGTTAGTTGCATATCTTTTTACAGGACCTTGCAAATCAACCCAGCATTTCTTCTTCTTCATGTTCACTGGTTGTAAACTTCGGCAGAAAATTCTGGTTGTTTGTCACCTTCTGGACTTGTTATCTTGATCCAGAACTGGTGTTCTGCATGCACATCCATTTTACAGATTTGGCTTATTTGTATACAGACTGTTGGTTCCTGGCCTCTTAGGCAGATGTACTTTGCTTACAAACTAAGGACTTCATTTTAACATGTGCTTCAGGGATGCTTTCTACATGCAGCAGATAGTTTTCAGGTCTAGTCGGCTGGCATTCCAATTGACACCACGCTGTATGGTTCAGCGGAAGACACCTGTCACACCACAGACTTCATAGAGGCCTATGGCCTTCTCACCTGAAAACTACTTGCCGGGACAGTAAAATGAAGATCAAGATTTCGTCTGCAGACAAGTTTCAAATCTGATCTAGAGACTATAGCTTTTAAATGTTAGTATTATGTCATGTATATACTCTAATACTTACTTATTTACTTACTCTACTTCTAAAAGTATTATGTCATGTATATACTCTAATACTTACTTATTTACTTACTCTACTTCTACAAGTATTATGTCATGTATATACTCTAATACTTACTTATTTACTTACTCTACTTCTACAAGTATTATGTCATGTATATACTCTAATACTTACTTATTTACTTACTCTACTTCTACAAGTATTATGTCATGTATATACTCTAATACTTACTTATTTACTTACTCTACTTCTACAAGTATTATGTCATGTATATACTCTAATACTTACTTATTTACTTACTCTACTTCTACAAGTATTATGTCATGTATATACTCTAATACTTACTTATTTACTTACTCTACTTCTACAAGTATTATGTCATGTATATACTCTAATACTTACTTATTTACTTACTCTACTTCTACAAGTATTATGTCATGTATATACTCTAATACTTACTTATTTACTTACTCTACTTCTACAGGTAGCAATCAATACCTTGGAATATGTTATTTCAATGGCCCCAAGGTAGGGACACAAAGAAATCACTGAGGATCTCAGCCAACCCTCCCTCCCCACTTTTTTGTTGTTGAAGAGACAGGATTTCTCAAGGTGAAGAGACAGGATTTCTCAAGGTGAAGAGACAGGATTTCTCAAGGTGAAGAGACAGGATTTCTCAAGGTGAAGAGACAGGATTTCTCAAGGTGAAGAGACAGGATTTCTCAAGGTGAAGAGACAGGATTTCTCAAGGTGAAGAGACAGGATTTCTCAAGGTGAAGAGACAGGATTTCTCAAGGTGAAGAGACAGGATTTCTCAAGGTGAAGAGACAGGATTTCTCAAGGTGAAGAGACAGGATTTCTCAAGGTGAAGAGACAGGATTTCTCAAGGTGAAGAGACAGGATTTCTCAAGGTGAAGAGACAGGATTTCTCAAGGTGAAGAGACAGGATTTCTCAAGGTGAAGAGACAGGATTTCTCAAGGTGAAGAGACAGGATTTCTCAAGGTGAAGAGACAGGATTTCTTAAGGGAGCTGGTGGCATTAAGCCTAAACAACAGGACTACAACCAATTAATTACCTCCATTAGGTCATCCACAAACAATTTCCTGGTTTCAGGATTGTCGATGAGACTCAAAGCATCTTTGCCAGATGCCACATCAGCCTCAGTACTGCCAGTCCCTGACGCAGAAGCTGGCACCTCATCAATGATCTCCCAGTCGATGACGTCAACATCTGGGGTTTCCAAGCTCACCTGTATGGATGGCATGTTATCTCATAGAATTATAATATCAAATGCAGTCTCCAATGTTACTTCATTAATGCATCTTCTTCTTCAGCGGTCCAAGTCACTGAGGTTCCCTACCCCAGACATTAACTGTGTCCATTTATCTCAGTGACTGACCTTCTGGTTCCTGTTGGTGACTCCAAATGTTTATAGGTCTTCCTGTATATTATCTCTCCATAGTCTTCTTTTTCTGCCTCATGGAGCAGAATTCAGCGACAGAGTGCAGCAAAGGAGGATGGGATGGCAAGGAGTACCACAGCAACCTTCTAGATTATTAGAAAATGAAAGAAAAAAAAAGCAAGGAAGAGATGAGCTCACCTGTTTTTTAATAATCTTGGTCTGTTTTCTCAGGATCTCCAGCTGGTTCCAACTCGTTCTCCTCTTTTATGGCTACCAGCCTGGTGCCCATCATCTCCTTGTCACTCAGCACCATCTTGTCTGCCAGCACCAGTTTCTGCTTCGAGGAGTTTCACATCAACAACTGCTGTCTCCAGTGTCACCTCACTAGTGTATGATATCTTCTTTCTCTTCTTCTTCTTCTCTTCCACCTTGTACCTCATCGAAGTGTTGGGGGAGACGTAACATTCATTGATGAGCTCTGTCAAGAGCACTATTAAGACTGATGTTCATTTCTGTAAGGCTGTTCTTAATGCCATCACTCCATATTTTCCGAGGTCTTCCACTCGCTCTATACCCGTTGTAACGTTTAAGTGTGGCTCGCTGTGACAGATAGTACCACGGCATTCTTGTTAGGTGTCCTTACCACTTCATTTGTTGTTCTTTGATGACCTGTAAGTGTATGATATCAACAACTGCTGTCTCCAGTGTAACCTCACTAGTGTATGATATCAACAACTGCTGTCTCCAGTGTAACCTCACTAGTGTATGATATCAACAACTGCTGTCTCCAGTGTAACCTCACTAGTGTATGATATCAACAACTGCTGTCTCCAGTGTAACCTCACTAGCGTATGATATCAACAACTGCTGTCTCCAGTGTAACCTCACTAGCGTATGATATCAACAACTGCTGTCTCCAGTGTAACCTCACTAGTGTATGATATCAACAATTGCAATTCCTAATGCTATCTCATCTCATCAATCTGTGACATCAACAAATGCAGTCTCCAGTGTTTCCTCATCTATGGTTCTCTTCTTCTTATTCAGCCACCAGCTGTAAACTTTAATGGAAAGTCCTGGTTTGGGGTCCAACTCTGGATTTTGGTCTTGTTCTATGATATGGCTTATTCTGTGTGTGCACACTATTGGTTCCTTGCTTCTCAGAAGTGATGCATTCTAACTCTGAAGCAAATTTAGATCCTATCTATCCCAACCTTGCTCCAGTTAAGGTGCTTGTTTCTATGATGACCGAGGAGAGGTCTTGACCAATATGAGCCCTGGTCCTGCTACACCATCACAGGTGGTTCTGCACCTCTGCATTCCATCGACAGAGTAATGATTTGGATTCTGGTAATAACAATGGCATAGGGCTGCCAAGAGTGGACTTCTTAATAACAATGGCATAGGGCTGCCAAGAGTGGACTTCTTAATAACAATGGCATAGGGCTGCCAAGAGTGGACTTCTTAATAACAATGGCATAGGGCTGCCAAGAGTGGACTTCTTAATAACAATGGCATAGGGCTGCCAAGAGTGGACTTCTTAATAACAATGGCATAGGGCTGCCAAGAGTGGACTTCTTAATAACAATGGCATAGGGCTGCCAAGAGTGGACTTCTTAATAACAATGGCATAGGGCTGCCAAGAGTGGACTTCTTAATAACAATGGCATAGGGCTGCCAAGAGTGGACTTCTTAATAACAATGGCATAGGGCTGCCAAGAGTGGACTTCTTAATAACAATGGCATAGGGCTGCCAAGAGTGGACTTCTTAATAACAATGGCATAGGGCTGCCAAGAGTGGACTTCTTCATCTTGGTGTTCACTGTTTGCAAGCTCCGGTGGAAAGTTCTAGTTGTTCGTTAATTTCTGGATTTTGGTCTCGTTTCAGGACTTTAATTTTGCATGCACATCTGTTTTAGAGATCAGTTTTATTAGTTTACAGATTGTTGGTTCCTCATCTCTCAGGCAGATGCACCTTAACTTTGAAGGAAACTCCTCTAATTAGTTGCCTTTTATGACATGCTTGTTGGCAGCAGTGTGTCTATATTCTTTCACTCTAGAATGGGGAGCCAAGAGCAAACAACTCAACAGCTTTGAGGTCAACAAGAGCAGACAGCTCAGCACCTTTGGGATCAACAGGAGTAGACAACTCAGCAGCTTTGGGATCAACAGGAGTAGACAACTCAGCAGCTTTGGGATCAACAGGAGTAGACAACTCAGCAGCTTTGGGATCAACAGGAGTAGACAACTCAGCAGCTTTGGGATCAACATGAGTAGACAACTCAGCAGCTTTGGGATCAACATGAGTAGACAACTCAGCAGCTTTGGGATCAACAGGAGTAGACAACTCAGCAGCTTTGGGATCAACAGGAGTAGACAACTCAGCAGCTTTGGGATCAACAGGAGTAGACAACTTAGCAGCTTTGGGATCAACAGGCGTAGACAACTCAGCACCTTTGGGATCAACATGAGTAGACAACTCAGCAGCTTTGGGATCAACAGGAGTAGACAACTCAGCAGCTTTGGGATCAACAGGAGTAGACAACTTAGCAGCTTTGGGATCAACATGAGTAGACAACTCAGCAGCTTTGGGATCAACATGAGTAGACAACTCAGCAGCTTTGGGATCAACAGGAGTAGACAACTCAGCAGCTTTGGGATCAACAGGAGTAGACAACTCAGCAGCTATGGGATCAACAGGAGTAGACAACTCAGCAGCTTTGGGATCAACATGAGTAGACAACTCAGCAGCTTTGGGATCAACAGGAGTAGACAACTCAGCACCTTTGGGATCAACAGGAGTAGACAACTTAGCAGCTTTGGGATCAACAGGAGTAGACAACTTAGCAGCTTTGGGATCAACAGGAGTAGACAACTTAGCAGCTTTGGGATCAACAGGAGTAGACAAATTAGCAGCTTTGGGATCAACAGGAGTAGACAACTCAGCACCTGTGGGAACAACATGAGTAGACAACTTAGCAGCTTTGGGATCAACAGGAGTAGACAACTCAGCACCTTTGGGATCAACAGGAGTAGACAACTTAGCAGCTTTGGGATCAACAGGAGTAGACAACTTAGCAGCTTTGGGATCAACAGGAGTAGACAACTTAGCAGCTTTGGGATCAACAGGAGTAGACAACTCAGCACCTTTGGGAACAACAACAGTAACATGCTATATTTCTCATCTGATGCCCTAACCCTCACCTCACCCTCCGCTGCCAGGACACCTCCACTTTCCACTGTGATATTGCCCAGATCAAAGTCAGATGAATCCCCAAAGTCAATAACCTCACTGATGTCAGCAGCACCCCAGTCTATATCAACAGCCTCACCTGAAATAAAAGGTACAGCTTAATTTCTAAGTGGCTGTGAAGAGAAATCTAGCAATTTAAAAAAAAAATACAAATTTGTTGAAGTTACAAAACTTGCAATATCTAAAAGATACATCTGCCTCTTCTCTGAGGTATACTAAATAATATAATGAATCTCTCTCTCTCTCACTCTCTTTCACACATCACACACACGCGTGCACACACACCCCCCTCCCCCCAAGAATGCATGCACACACACATATATATGTTTAATCATCATTATCATGTGCCCTACCAGGCAGCATAGGTGCTCATATCTCTTCGCAGATTTACTTATATGGATGACATTTCTGTGGAACTAAGAGTCTGCACACAGATGAGCCAGATCTGTAAAATAGATGGTAGATCGACTGGTAGATCCCCGCTGTACTTGCTCCCTGTGAGTTTATTCCTACTGTACGTGGCTAGCCCACAAGACTACCAGGAAAGACTGGCCCCCCGGTATCGCCGGGGGGATAAACTGACATCTGGAGACAGATGTCGACTGTGGACCGGGTTGATCACCCCTAACACAGTATAATATCTCCGATTTCGTACGACCACATAGAAATATGCCCCCAGGGCCCTCCGAAAGGGGGGGGAGAATGAAGGGCCCAATCCAATTGATACTCTCAGTGACGACTTTGCTAGCCCCCGGACTCAGATACTCGCCCAACATCCGGGCTGGCTCTGTACATGTGGGAAAAGCTTCACGGGGTTGCATGGTCTGAGAACGCATGCCGGAAGAATGAAATGCGAGGGTGCTCCACGCAGTAAACGCCGTCGCAAAACTACTACTCCTGTGATAGTTTCTGAGTCGTCAGGGTACGACGGGCAGGGTGAACCCCACTCGCCCGGAGAGGCCCATGACGTCGACTGCGGAGGAGCACCTTTGATGATTTCTGAAGAATTGCGTTCCAGAATCAGGTTTCCACCTGCGAGCGAGAAGGTGGTGTGGTGTAAGTTGGAGGCTACATTATGTGAGGTACTTAAACAAACTCTAAACAAGAAGTCGCTAGGCGACAAGCTTACAAAATTTGGTGATGTAATATATGAACACTGCTCCCGTGAGTTCGGGACAGTAGCAAAGGCACAGCCGGGTGCCAAGCAGAATACTAGCAGGAGGCAGAGGGACATTCTGAAGTGTCGGGCAGACAAGAATGCCCTCAGAAAACGGTTCAAAGCCGCTACAGGCAGCGAACGGGAGGGGCTGTATGAAATTTGGTTGCATTTAAAGAACAAACACAGTGCCCTCTGTCGCGCCGAGCGTTACTGTAACAACAGACGTAGAACCAAAAAGGAGCGAGAGAAATTCTTTAGAGACCCGTATCAGTTTGCCCGAGATCTATTCGAGCAACCGAATTCTGGGACTCTGGTTGTCAGTCAGGAAGAACTAGAGCTACATCTACGCAAGATGTACTCTGACAAAAAGAGGAGTGAGCCTCTTGATGACAATCCAGAGATCCTTAGCGGCCTTTAACAGCCTTCGGTGCCGAAGGTACCATTTAAAATGGTACCTCCCCTTTGGTCTGAGGTTGAGGAAGTTGTGAAAAAGGCCAGCGGCAAGTCTGCCCCAGGTCCGAACGGTGTCCCATACGTTCTTTACAAGCGTTGCCCGAAAATCCTTAAAATGCTTCACGTCTTGTTGAGACAAGCGTGGATCCGCAACCACATATGTCCATAGTGGTCAAAGGCAAATGGGGTCTACATTCCCAAAGAGCAGGACTCGAAGAGTCTTTCCCAATTCAGGCCCATCTCGCTGTTGAATGTCGAGGGTAAGATATTCTTCTCAGTCATGGCTCGCCGGCTCACACAGTATCTGATGACTAAATAGTACATAGATACGAGTGTTCAGAAGGGTGGTATTCCAGGCGTTCCTGGGTGCCTTGAACACGCGACCATGATTTGGGAGGCTATCCAGAGAGCCAAGCATGAGAAAACCGATTTGCACGTTATATGGTTGGACTTAGCCAACGCCTACAAGGCAGTCCCCCATAGGCTTCTGTGGCGAGCCCTTCGCATGTTTCACGTACCGACACAGATCAATCAAATGATCGAGCAATATTTCTCTAAGTTCGCTTTGCGCTTCACTACCTCGACGTTTACCACGAGGTGGACTGAGTTGCAGATTGGGATAGCTATGGGCTGTACGATCTCACCCATACTGTTTGTCATGGCAATGCAGATCATGTTAGACGGGGCGGCCGGCTACGGACTTGGCCTTCAAATAGGGGATCACTGGTTGCCGCCACTACGCGCATTTATGGATGACACGACTATAATAACGGGCAGCGAGGAGTCTGCCTGCACGATCCTGAAAAGATTGGACGCGGTGGTCCAATGGAGCGGTATGCAGTTCAAACCGCAGAAGTCGAGGAGTCTGTCAATCCATAAGGGCAAGGTGTCGGCAATCAGTTTTACGGTGGCAAGGAACAAGATCCCCACGGTTCTGGAGGAACCGGTGAAGAGTCTCGGTTGCGTTTACGATTCGAAGTTATCTGATAGAGCGGAGGTCCGGCGAATACACGAGTCACTGGCTACAAGCCTGCTCGCGATCGAGCGATGCAGGCTGGTCGGAAAATTCAAGGTATGGTGTCTCCAACTCATGTTGATTCCAAAGCTCCTATGGCCACTGTTAGTCTACGAGGTGACGATGACTGCAGTGGAAACCATGGAGAAGAAAATCAACACAGCCTTGAGAAAGTGGATTGGTGCACCGCCTTGTCTGACCGACGTGGCTCTGTATTGCAAACAGGCTAAGCTGGTACTTCCGTTCAAATCAATAACCGAAGAGTTTAAAGTCGGCAAGGTAAGGCTCGCCATGCTCTTACGCGAGTCTTCAGACCCAAATGTCATCGCTGTCCAGCCCGCTCTAAAGACTGGCCAGAAGTGGAGGGTCCTCGATGCGATAGAATCTGCCCAGAACGCACTAAAATTGAGAGAAATTATGGGATACACACAAACCGACCGTCGAGGCCTAGGGCATGGGAAAGTCAATTGGTGGTCAAAGGCCTCAGCCAAAGAGCGCTGAGACATGGTGATACAAACGGTGAGGGACAACGAAAACGAGGTTCGGGTCCAGAAAGCAGCCCAGCAGTCGCAGCAGGGCCATTGGGTCAGCCTGGAGAGCGCATTGCCAAGAATACTCACATGGGGTGAGATCTGGCGGATGACCCCGCTGCGACTGAGCTTTATCGTTCGTTCGGCGTACGATGTATTACCGTCCGGTGTTAACATGGTTAAATGGTCTGCGACCAACGATCCGACTTGCCCGCTGTGTAAATCGAAGCAAACTCTTGAGCACATCCTGTCCGCGTGCAGGAAAGCCCTAGGTCAAGGCCGATACACCTGGCGACACAACAAGGTGCTAAAAGAGTTAGCAGCCATTGTCGACCAGGCTAGAATGAGGGCTAAAGCCAGAGCCAGTTCTAGCATCGTCCCCATTCGTTTCCTCAAGGCTGGGCAGGTTCCAAAAGGTAAGGTCAACCAAAACGCATTCGCTCCATCTGTGCTAGACTCTGCGAGGGACTGGTTACTGGCGGTTGATCTGCCAGGCCATGAACGGTACCCCGAGTTGATCCTGTGTTTTTAATTAAAACCGGCCTGCAACCGGACATCGTTCTCCATTCTGCGCAAAAACGGCAGCTCATCCTGATTGAGTTGACTGTCCCGTTTGAGTCGCGTATCGAGGAGAATCATTTGTACAAGCTCGAGAAGTACAGTGATTTAGCAGCCGGTCTAAGGAGAAACGAGGCGTACACAGTACGGGTATTTGCCGTCGAAGTGGGAGCGAGAGGCCTCGTTTCCACTTCGCTCTACAATGTGGTGAAAGAATTAGGATTGCGTGGTAATGAACGGAAACGAACACTCAAAAAACTGGGAGAGGCAGCCGAAAGGGCCTCTAGCTGGCTTTGGACGCAACGCAACAATGTAGGGGACGGGCCTCGGTGAGCTGGTCCGGGTGTCTAGTGGAAAAGGGTTTCTCACCCCTTTGAAAGTCCATCGTGTCCGAATTGTCTGCCAGTGTTCCTCTGCCAACTGCTAATAAAAGTCCAACATGTGTCCGGTAAACCAAAGTAAGCTTGTCGCTCGGTCGTCCAGGCATGCTGACTGCTTTAATTAGGCTGCCGCGGCGGCTTCTTATCTCACAGTACCTTCTGCGAAACCACCAAGTCGTCTTGTCTCTGGCCAAAAGTAAAACACCATCCGGTAATCCCGTGCAGCAGGGAACCAGCCCTGAGCTTCATGAACTCAGGAGGGCCCACCTCCGAATGCGTCTAGGAATCGTGGGCCGAAACGCGTGTCGACAAGAATAATTTCTACTGACGACTGGTAGATCCCTGCTGTACTTGCTCCCTGTGCGTTTATTCCTATAGATGTGCATACAACACTCAAGTCCTGGAACAAGGCCAAAGTCCAGAAGTGGAACAAGGACTTTCCTCCAGAGTTTACAGCCTGTGAATGTTAAGAAGAAGAAGAACAACAACAACAACAAGAACAAGAAGAACAAGAACGAAAAGAAGCATGTTTAAGATTGTTATCATAAGAATGAAGCTTACTATCAGTGGCAGCATCTTGCTCATCAGACAAGTCAATCTTGATCTGCACCTCCTCCACTTTGCTGGGCACCCGGCCGGTCCGCCACTCGAAGGTAGTGGTGTTACCTTTGCTCAATATGTGTTTCAGGAGGCAGACATTCTCACTGCCTGCATCAACACTGCAGGACAAGAAAGTAAAATGTGTTTCAGGAGACATTCTCACTCACTGCTTGCATCAACACTGCAGGACAAGAAAGTAAAATGTGTTTCAGGAGACAGACATTCTTACTGCCTGCATCAACACTGCAGGACAAGAAAGTAAAATGTGTTTCAGGAGACGGACATTCTTACTGCCTGCATCAACACTGCAGGACAAGAAAGTAAAATGTGTTTCAGGAGACAGACATTCTCACTGCTTGCATCAACATTGCAGGACAAGAAAGTGAAATGTGTTTCAGGAGACAGACATTCTCACTGCTTGCATCAACATTGCAGGACAAGAAAGTGAAATGTGTCAAAAAACTGTGAACATGTTATCAATAGAAAGTGTATCAGTCAGGTGCAGTTTTCACAACGAAGGTTCGTTGCAATTTTTTTCCAACGCTCTGTCTTTTGTACACACTACCAAACTGCTGTCTGTCCATCTCTTGATGTTATCCTCTCATTTGTACCACTGTCTGTCTTTTGATCGTCTGCTTTCAACTTTTCCCTACTATATAGATTTTATCAAGAGTGTTGTGTCTTAATATGGCTAATATATTTCCCACCTCTCTTTTTTTTACTTCCATCGACAGCTCTCTTTTCTCTCCTAAACACTTCGGAACCTCTGTATTTTACTGTGTCTGCTTCCACAAACTACAACTTACTTTTCTGTACATCCACATATACTGAGACCAAATACTTCTTCTTCTTCTTCTTGGCGTTCACCAGCTGTAAACTCTGGCAGAAAGATCTGGTTGTTTGGCCACTTCTGGATAATCCTTGTTTCAGAACTTGAGTTTTCTGTGCACATCCGGTTTACAAGAATAGTATTAGTAGGCAGACTGTTGGTTCATTACCTCTCAGGCAGATACACTCTGACTTTTTTAACATACTCCGGGGCAGTTGGTCTACTGTCTGTCCCCTCTTCCCTTTCCATAATGTGAACCCCAGAACCCACAATTGGAAAAACTTTATACAATTTTATAATTGCTTTTTTCATTATCCAGGTGCCTGCCCCATACAGCAGGGTCAAACATGACAAGCCCTCGTAAGACAATGAAAGATGATAAACCATGGTAGAACAATAACATATGATAAACGTTGGTAGAATAATCATGGTGCTTTCTTATTAGCCAACCACAAAAAGGGGGAAATCCACAGGTCATGGGATAGTCAAATATTTCAGGAGGTGGTAGATTAAGCGTATAGTTTTGCTTAGGTTAGGGTTACAGTTAGGGTTAGTTTGATGCGCAAAAACCTTGGCCTTAGAAGAAACGCGCTAAAGCATAGAAAACACAAAAAACCCGCTCTTACAAACCTCAAAAATTTTGGGCTGTAATTATACCTGGCAAGCTGCTGCAGGACAATAAAAGGTGAAAAAAAACTCTGTAGGACACTGATAAATGAAAATTTTTCACAGAACAGTGATATATGACAAACTTTGGTGGGACAATGACACATGATAAACCTTTGTAGGACACAGACACATGACAGACCATGGCAGAACAATGATACATGACAAACCTTGGTAGAACAATGATTTGTAACAAACCTCTGAATATGACGAGTTGTGGTATGACACTGTTAGATGACAAACCTTAGTAGCACAATGATACATGACAAACCTTTAATAGATAAATGAAAGATGACCAACCTTGGTAAGACAAACCGGGTAAAATCATCATAAAACTGCACAGCATCCTCCAGTGTCCTGGCCGACTCGGCAAACTTTCTCAGTTCTGATGGAAGATCTTTAACAAGCTCCGCAAGTTCTGTCTTAATCTTATTTCCCTTCAGAGCAGCAATAAAAATTAAATATAGTAAAAAAATTTGTAAAGTTAGCACCAGCGACACTGGGCTGGGTTCAATCCCCAGAATGTGGCCAGATTTTTTGTTTAACCTTATGACTCTTCTGATTTTTCCTTTTCTTCTTCTTACTATTCTTCCTTGCATTCACTGGCTGTAAACTCTGACAGTAAGTTGTGGTTGTTCGTGCACTTCTGAATTTTGGTCATGCACCAGAACTTGAGTTTTGCAAGCACATTCATTTTACAGATCTCACTTATTTGTAGGCCAACACTTGGTTTGTCGCCTTTCAGGCAGATGCACTCTCAATTCGAAGGAAATGCTCCTATTTAGTTGCCTTTTATGACATGCTGGCTAGGGGGGCAGTGGGTTTCCCCAAAATGGGGTCCTGGAACCCAAATGGGAAGAACAGGACATCCATGGAGTGGGGAAACAGACAGCAAGTCCTTACTATTGTATAAATGGCACAATACAATAATGATGATGCTGATGATAAATTTAATTATGATGATGATGAAGATTATGATGATGATAATTATGATGATGATGATTATGATGATGACAGGGGTGATGCGTGGTCTCGAGGCATGGTGTCCGCCTCGACTGCTAGAGGTTCCGGGTTTAATCCCGGGTAAGGCCTGGGATCTTTTCATGTGGACTTGGACTTCCAGTAATTTCCCCTGGTCTCTGTCTGGGTAGTGAGATTAGACCCCCGTGTGTATTGTTGCACACGAAAAAAATCCCTTGGCAGTTGGAAATCAAAAAGAGTAGCCTAGCGGCGCTGCCCGGGCAAAGTTTAGAATAAAAAATCTACTCAAAGTATTTCAGGAACCTCGCGGGTGCTACAGAGCCTGTGCACTGTGCTGCGCTTCTTCAGACTCAGACGAGTTAGAAGAAGAAAGGAGCACTTATGGGTTACTACCCGTGTGCCATGATGTTGGTCCGTTGTTCAAAACCTCAAACGTGATGATGATGACGACAATAATTAAGATGATTACGATGATAATTATGAGGATGATGATGATCTTAATTATGATGATGAGGATGATGATGGCGATGATTATGATGATAATGATGATGACTTGAAAACACACAGAAAATATTAACACTGAAACATGGAAAGTTCCAAGGTGAATGATGTCAAACCCCAGCTCCCACAACTGTGTGTAAGTAACATACACAGCTTGCTTACCTCTATGCCCAGCTGCTTACAAGACGCCTTGTACTGTCTGCGCAGATCTGTGGCACTGGATGCATACTCGTTCTCTTTCCTCTGACATTCCTGTGGATTTTTCATTCATAGATTACAAAATAAACCATACATCATTTTCAATAGAAGCAAACCTAATTTTTAATAAAAGTGAAACCATTTTCAATAGAAGCAAGCATCATTTTCAATAGAAGCAAACACCATTTTTTACAAAAGTAAAACCATTCTCAATAGAAGCAAGCACCATTTTTAACAAAAGCAAACACCATTTTCAATAGAAGCAAACACCATTTTTAACAAAAGTAAATCCATTTTCAATAGAAGCGAACACCATTTTGTACAAAAGTAAAACCATTTTCAATAGAAGCAAGCACCTTTTTCCAAGGCATTAGAGGTGATGGGTGTATAGTGCTAGCCATACATTTTTATAGACTACCCAGCAATTGCTGGATAATGTTGGCAATATCTTATCAACTACCTTTACTTTCTATACAATTCCTGGCACCCACTTTAGACAAGGCCACCTTGGAGGCCAAGACAATTTTTTTTTTTAAATACATGCACTGAACACATGACCAAGAGACTGGCAGACAAACTTGCTAGCCATGGTGTTTTACAGCAGATATAGCTTCTTTCTCTTTTTCACGTTACTGGCTGTAAACTCCGGTGGAAATTTCTGGTTGTTCATCCACTTCTGGACTTCAGTTTTGCATGCAGGTCCGTTTTACAGATCTAGCTTATTTATATACAAACTGTTGGTTCCTTACCTCTCAGGTAGATGCACTCCGACTTCAAAGGAAAAATCCCCAATTAATTAACTTTTACAACATGCTTGTTAGGGGTCAGAGGATCTTTTATCCCCCCCACCCCCCCCCCCACCCCCATGGAACCCCGGAACAGGGAGGATACTACTCAAAGTATAGGTACTTTAATAATCTATTACAGTGGTTCATAAATATCAGAAGTATAGAGTACTTTAATAATCTATTACAGTGGTTCATAAATATCAGAAGTATAGGGTACTTTAATAATCTATTACAGTGGTTCATAAATATCAGAAGTATAGAGTACTTTAATAATCTATTACAGTGGTTCATAAATATCAGAATTATAGAGTACTTTAATAATCTATTACAGTGGTTCATAAATATCAGAAGTATAGAGTACTTTAGTAATCTTTTACAGTGGTTCATAAATATCAGAATTATAGAGTACTTTAGTAATCTATTATAGTGGTTCATAAATATCAGGAGTATAGAGTACTTTAGTAATCTATTATAGTGGTTCATAAATATCAGAAGTATAGAGTACTTTAGTAATCTATTATAGTGGTTCATAAATATCAGAAGTATAGAGTACTTTAGTAATCTATTATAGTGGTTCATAAATATCAGAAGTATAGAGTACTTTAGTAATCTATTATAGTGGTTCATAAATATCAGAAGTATAGAGTACTTTAGTAATCTATTATAGTGGTTCATAAATATCAGAAGTATAGAGTACTTTAGTAATCTATTATAGTGGTTCATAAATATCAGGAGTATAGAGTACTTTAGTAATCTATTATAGTGGTTCATAAATATCAGAAGTATAGAGTACTTTAGTAATCTATTATAGTAGTTCATAAATATCAGGGCACAAATGGCAGCAGTCTCAATCAGAAACAAACACACAATTTTGTAAGGCTAACTAGCCCAGCCAACAAATGAATAAAGTATTTGGATGTCTCAGCCGAAAGATGTATGTATTGCGGCTCTCATTTAAACCAGGCATAATGTTAAATCATCTAAAAGGAAAAACATATTGGCCGACTGAATCAATTTTCTTTTCTTATTTCTTTTTGTTCTCTCTGTTGAATACATCTTTCATGGACAGGTTAAAAAGATAATCCTATTTAGTCTCCACTGCTTTCTGTGTTACCAACGTCGCTCCCATGTGGGACGTAATTTTTCATTATTTTGAATCCCCACTCTGGCTCATGTGGTTTTACAGAAGAATCATAAGAATTCTTTGGACAGCAACAACAACAAAAGAAGAAACCCAGATGTTTTGAAAAAAGTGAGGGCTCAAAAACTACTTATCACAAACATTATAAAGAGACAATCATCATTTATTTTTAATTATGCTATGAGAAAATGAAAACTGAAACATGCTCTGAACAATGGAAAGATATGTGGAAAAAGAGACAGAGGAAAACAATGTGAGACTCTTCTTGACAGCCTTTTGTTGTGATATTTAGGGGTGTCAACACATAAACAGAAACATGCTGCCCAAGATCCGGGGTTGTTGAGTTGCATGATCACCCACGCAATCGGCATGGCATTTGGTGGCGATGACAGATAGAAGAGTCATTCCGTCATTAGCATGGTCAGCAATCTGCACAGTGTCACAATCATGTAAACCACCTTTACTTCCCAAAAGAATTTCCTGGTACCCATTTTAGAGTAGGTCAATCTAAAAACATAAGTTTTTTTTTTTTTTTTTTTTGGTCTTGATGACGATTTGAATGCAGAAACTCTGGGCCGTTGGCCAGGGAATTGATGTGGTAATCAGGAAGTTAGAAAAACAAGCTATGTAAGCAGGAACCTTCAAACTCCTGGCAAGTTGTTTGGAACTGAGCAGGTTAGGCAACAGTAACAATAACCACAGCAACAGTAACATGGATATGGATTGTTTCTTATGTTACTTACTTTCTGAGTTTGCTGACATTTGCTGATCTGTTTCTTGATTGCTGGAATCTCATAATTGACATTTCGAATTATCAGCTGTGCTGCTTCCCCTAAAATAAATATAGACCATAATTCAATATTCAACTGAAACAAATAAACATTATCCACTGCATTGACAAGGCTCACAGTTAGAGATTCAGTTATAAGTTACAGACGGCTATATGGTAATGAGTCATGTAATCATCATGTGCCCTGCCAACTGGCGTAGGCGCTCATGCGTCTCCACAGATCATGATCCCTGGTTCCCTGGAACAGCTCTCTTGATGATATCCCTCCATGCCATCGTTTCAGCCCATCCAGCATCATCTCTCTTGGTCTGCCTCTACCCCTTTTTCCACTGATCTTATCAGTTGTCACGATGTTCTCCAATGTCTCTCTTCTAATTATGTGGCCAAAGAACAGTGTTTGTCTCTTTCTTATTAATGAGTGGTGTAAATTAATTAATTAATTCACTAAACTCAAACTATGATTACTGAGCTCAATAAGGGAGAAAAGGAAACAAGCAGAAACAACCAAATGTTTGTAGCAACCTCTTTATCAACTCCTCCTTCTTAGCATTCACCGGCTGTAAATTCAGCAGAACGTTCTGGTCGTCTATCCAATTCTGGACTTTGGTCTTGTTTCAGAATTTGAGTTTTGCATGCAAATCATTTGATAAATCTGGCATATTGGTAGAGAGACTGCTAGTTCCTCAACTCTCATGCAGAGGCACTCCGACTTTGAAGGAAATTCCCCTAATTATTCACCTTCTATAACATGCTTGTTGGATATATATATATATACATATATATATATATATATATATATATATATATATATATATATATATATATATATATATATATATATATATATATTTACATCTCTTTCTCTCGCGCGCGCTTTTTTTTTTTTTATCATCATCATCATCATTATAAGTAGCTTGCTGAATGGCATGGTGATCATGCCTCTCCACAATCTGCAAACATCTAGAGCCTGTATCAGGATTGTGCTGACACCCTTCTATGCTATGACAAAAGGCTGTGAATAATCTTCTCGTGTTGTCTTCCTCTATCTCTTTTCTCCACAGAGTTTTCCAGTGGTCACGACATGTTTCACTTTCCTTCTTCTGATAATTGAGCAACAAATTTTGACAGTCTCACTCCGATGTTTGTGATAAGTTGTCTTCAAGCCCTGACCTCTTTCCACATATCTGGGTTGCTCTTTTTAGCTGTCCATGCATTTCTAAGAACTTTTTTTTATGTTTATTAACAACTTTACCTTTAATTTTCACATATGAATTAGTCTTACATATAAACACTTATACATATAAACAGTTATGTAAGGGAACACCTTGTATGGAGGAAAAGAACAGCTTGTGAAAACATGTAAATTCCACTACATAGCTTTGGGCCAAAGGGCGAAAGCTCATGTGCCGCTGGATCAATAACAACAACAAACAGTTATGTATGCAAACAGTTAAGAATATATATACTTACATAAGTAGGTCCCCTCCTTCTCGTATAGTTTGACAATCTCTGCCCAGTTCTGCATAAAGATTAAACAGAGAAAATCCTTCAAAACAAGACATACAGACATCATCAACCCAGTGTTAATAAGGAGATTATCTGATGCAGTTTAGAGAAGCCTCTATTGCTACATGTTATTCTTCTTCTTCTTCTTCTTTTTAGAGTTCACATGCTGTAAACTCCAGCAGAAAGTTCTGGTTATTTATCACCAGTGAACTTTCATCTTGTTCCAGAACTTGAGCTTTGCGTGCCCATCTATTTTACAGATCTGGTTTATCTGTATGCAAGCCAATGCTTCCTTGCATCTCATAGAGATGAATGCTGACTTTGAGCAAAACACCCCTAATTAGTCCATTTTCACAACATAATTGCTGGGATAGGGGGCACAGAGGGTCTGTTTTTCCTCCCAAAATAAGTCCAGAGAACCCAAATGATCAATTGATAAATGATAAATGTAACTATTCAATTCCACATCGAGATGGATTCTGACAACTGATCTGAGCTCCCAGGTCGACAGAGCCTAAAATGGGCACCAAGAAATGTCTTGGGAAGTAAAAGCAACAAGTGTGATGCTGACCACTAGATCCATCAAACACTGACTGGTCAATAAAAAATATGCAGCTAGCACCATATGTACAGTACAACTCAAAGTGTAAAATAAAAAAGGGTTCATTTCTTTAGAAAAAAAAAGAATCTTAACAATTACCTTGTTTTTCTTTTAAATGTTCTTAAAAAATAAAGGCATCCTTATAATTCTCTGAAACTGTCTTTAAAAATGAGAGGAAGAGGACAAGAAGCAGAAGAAACTCTGAGTCTCAGCAAGTTTTTATAAACATCCAGGGGGGTTGAGCCCCTAGACCTCCAAGCAGACAGGCAAGTGTGAAGTCCAGTCACATCACGGCTGTCAAATCACTAAAAAAAATATAATTTTGTTTTCTCTTTTTGGTACCCAATTTTTTCAATTTTTTTAGAGTCAGGGAATTAGTAACTAAATACAACTGGCGCAACAAATCAACAGCTTTCCTTCCCTTTGACCATGAATACTGAAGTTCTGCCGACTTAGCCAGGTGTACCAAAGTGAGGTCATTATGAAGTTATTATGATGTAATGATAATGTCACCGATGTGGCCCTGATAGCTAAATCAGAGGCACACCTTCAGTCCAACTTACTTGTCTGGAAGGAAGAGCTTGAAAAGAGAGGGATGACCATCAGTATCTCCAAAACTAAAACCATGGTGATCTCAAGAGAGGAGAAGAAACACCAGATCATGATGGGACAGTATGCATTGGAGCAGGTTAACCAGTTCAAATACCTGGGAATTGTATTAGACCGAAACGGAGGCATTAAGACTGAGCTGGCTACACAAAAAGCAGCTGCTGGGAGACTCTTCCAGGCCATAAACCGAGGGTTTCTTAGCAAAAGAGAAATTGGCAAGAGGACGAAAATGGCTGTTTACCGCTCTACCTATGTACCAGTCCTGACCTATGGTTGTGAGTCATGGGCAATGACAACAGCTCACAAAAGCCAGCTGCAGGCCTCGGAAATGAGATATCTGAGAAAGGTTGTCCAAGTGACAAGAAGGGACAAAGTCCGCAATCTGACAATACGTCAAGATCTTGATACCCAGTCCTTACAAATCAGAGTGGATCAGTCACAGTTACGATGGTTTGGACATGTATGCAGAATGGGAGAAAATCGGCCACCATGGCAGGCTTGGGAGGCTAAGAACCAGGGAACCAGACCTCCAGGACGACCCAGGGTGCGCTGGGAAGACAACATCCGACAGTCATTAACTGACAGAAGACTGGAATGTAACAAAGCCAGAAAGAAAACTGCTGATAGAGACGTCTGGCAATCTCTCTGGCAAACCTCTACACCCCAAGGTAGAAGAAGAGCGACTAAGTAAGTAAGTAAGTAAGATGACGTCACAATATTTAGGCATGTGACTCTTCCACCCTTAATAGACATAATAATCATAGTGGCCACTGCCCAAAGACTTCATGTCATCAAAAACCTATAACTGCTGGAAATATGGTCTTCTCAGGGTGATTTAGTTCAGCTGTGTTTACATTTGGTATTTTTTTCGGTTCACAAGTGTAATTTTTACCAAGACCCTTTAGGATCATCACCGGAGCTATGATACTCATGCTTTGTGATGCTCTCTCAGCAGGGGACTAGCCTTCTGTAGGTAGAGACTGAGTCATATGAGATTGAACCTCGTGCAATGAAGTTGATCCTCTTGACATCAACCTTAAACTTTTACATTAGAAGAACCCAAGCTGTGATAGGGACCAGTTTACATCTACTTTAACACAACAAACCTTCATTGTTGCCGATGTGTACTGTCCAATCAAATTCCTTTTTCCAGACTCTGTAGCCTTGAGCTGATCAAAGAGAACTTTCACTTGGAAATAGTTCAATTCTGTTAACAAACCAAAAATTACAATATAAAATTATTATTTTAAAAACTGATTGGAAACGTAACAAACATCAAATTATGATACGACTAATGTTTAATTAAGAATCGACATCACAGCACTCAGGACATTCCCATAAGCGCCCCGTCCCTATCTTCAGCAGCAAGCGCAGAGTTCCAATTCCGATAGTACCAGCAACTGTCCAGTTGTAGATTCTACTTGACCCCTGAGTGTTGATCATCGGCCAGATCATCTGGTCACTCCTTGCAGCACCATTCTCCTTAGACTGTGATGATTCATCTGTGACTCCACAGTGTTTACTCTCCCTCAAACAGCACTTACAACATCTAGCTTTTCATGCATCAATTCATAAGCAAGTTGTGCAGAACCAGCTAGTCTATCTACCTGTTCATTTTATAATACACCAGCATACCCTGGAGAAAATATCCAAAAGAAACTAACTACCCAGGACCTTTGCAGCAATGCTTGCCACTCTTCACGCAGCATACCGGTCTCCGCCTTTCTCAACCAGCTATGTGAGTCAGTTAAAATCTGAACATGTGGGTACAGCTGATTCTCAAGCCAGTGGAAGGCAGCAGTGACTGCCTCCACCTCCATTCTAGTTCTGTGTCAGCAGGTCACTGGCGATTTTCTGTATCTACAGTTCACAACACAAACCACATTGTGCACAGTTTAAAAGCATTCAAAATTAAATCTACAGCTCATAGTATTGCACCATGCACTCAGCTTAGTAGCTGGGTGATGAAACCATATTCTGTTAGTGTACATATGGAGGAAAATGCAACAAGCAACTATTGCCAGAAGCAATCAATTTGCCATTACTAAAAACAGCAAACCTGTCTGTCCTCCGTAGTGACAGGAAGCCTCTGTTGGTGTAGATTAGTCTTGCCCAGCATGAACCCTGGTCCTGGTACACCTCTGTATTCAACAGACACATCCGTACATGAGATGACACTTCACTACAGCAGATGACATATTACTCACGTGGTGATGCCAGCAGTTGCTGAACCTCCTCACCACCAGACAATTCAGCCCGGGTCTCTTCTACTGCCTTGGTTAGTTTGTCTCTTATAAGTGTTAGAATAGCTGGACATTGTTGTGTGCAATGGCGACGGTTCACCAGCCAATCTGTAGAAGTCACGCACACAAAAACCAGTTTCAACAAAGTGTTAACACAACAACTGAAATTATTGCACTGGAAACAGTGGTGTACCACCTAAAGACCATAATGGATGTTTATCCTTCGAAGGTCCAAAATATTTTCATCTTCATCGATTCAATGTCCACTCTATAAGCTCTGGAGGGCAGTGAACGTTGCAGAACTGTCACAGCCAGGATAACTATCTGCTCATTACCTCATACAACATCAGAATAGTAATGAAGTGGATCCCAGGCCACTCTGGAACACCAGGTAATGATAGAGCTGACAGACTGGCAAAGAAATGAGCAGCACAAGAACAACCACCTACAGCGACAACCCTACAGACAGCAAAAGCACTCATTAGAGCTAAAAACAAAGAGACTTGGCTGAACAGATGGGCCATTGGAGATACTGGAAGAGAGATTTACAGACAAATGGCTAGCCCTGATCCTAACGACAGCATCAACCATCTAACAACAAGGGACCAGGCCACCATTTTCAGACTAAGAACACAACATATTCCACTCAATGGATATCTAAACAGAATACAGCCACAACACTCCCCAGAGTGCCAGCTATGTAACTACCCCTACAAAACTGTTGAACACCATCTCTTTGAGTGCCCAAAACTCAGCGAGACCAGAAGAATGTTACTCCCTCTGAGACCAGACAAGTGGAACATCTTGTACAGAAGAAAAGAACAGCTTTGTGAAAACACATAAATTCCATTACAAGTCATTGGGCCAAAGGGTGAAAGCTTATATGCAACTGGATCAATAGCAAAAATACAACCACCAATCTGAATAAAGTGTCTGCTGGAAATTTCCGAAAAAATGTAAGTAATCAAATCATGAAATAGATTAAGTATTCTAATCATGAAATAAATTAAGTATTCTAATCATGAAATAAATTTAGTATTCTAATCATGAAATAAATTTAGTATTCTAATCATGAAATAAATTAAGTATTCTAATCATTAAATAAATTAGGTATTCTAATCATGAAATAAATTTAGTATTCTAATCATTAAATAAATTAGGTATTCTAATCATGAAATAAATTAAGTATTTTATTCATAAAATAAATTAGGTATTCTAATCATGAAGTAAATTAAGTATTCTAATCATTAAATAAATTAGGTATTCTAATCATGAAATAAATTAAGTATTCTAATCATGAAATAAATTAAGTATTCCCTGGAAATTTCTGACTAAATGCAATACTAGTAGTTGTCCACCCCCGTGTGGGTTCCGGGGCCCCATTGTGGGGAAAACAAGAATAGACCCACTGCCTCCCCAAAAGCATGTCGTAAGAGTCGACTAACTGAGGAGCTTCCTTTGAAGTCGGAGTGCATATGCCGGAGAGTCAAGGAACCAACAGTCTGTATTCAAGAGAATGAGATCTGTAAAACTGATGCACACACAACACTCAGGTTCTGGAGCAGGACTGCAGTTTAGTAGTGGACGAGCAACCAGAACCTTCCGCCAGAGTTTACAGCTGGTGAACGCGAAGAAGAAGAAGTAGTTGCTCAGACATTTCTCTTATTTCTTCACCCCTCTTGAATTCATCATTTTCTTAACATCTTTCCAACTAATTTATTGTAATGAATAATTTTTGTACAGTTAAATTAAATAAGAATATATACCCAGGATAAGTGTGTAGCCCATTAACTTACCAGTTAATTTATTATAGTGAATATCAATAGGCAAACTTTCCAAAGACTTCTGAGTCATAATAATAGCTCTGTGTAATCTGAAAAAGAAAAAATTTTCATTTTATTAATATTTCTAAACTGGCAACAGTGATCCACGCACATACACACACACATGCATGCACACACACACAATAATATCATTTAGTTTCACTGGCAAGAAAAAAAAAAAGTCATCCTCATGAAAGATGGATACAATCAGTAGTGTATGTCCACAATAATTTCAGAACTCTATTCACATGTGATGCCATAAAATACAAGATACTCATCAAAAGTGTAGAGAGACATGGAGCATATGGCAGACCAAGACAAAAATGGAAAGATTTCAACAGAGAAACTTTACAACAGCAGAGTGTGTCTGTAGTCAAGGAGACCAGAAGAGCAAGAACCCTAAGTCTTATTCGACACCTTACTGACTTAGTCGCTCCTCTTCTACCTCAAGATTTACAGGTTTGCCAGAGAGATCGCCAGACGTCTCTATCAGCAGTTTTCTTATTCGACATCAGAAATGGTATTAGATAAGTGAAGAAGATGAGCACCGGAAAAGAACAGAAACATGTCATTCAACAGTTCTCTGTATACCCCAGCCAGTTATTAAATAGATGTTGTTAATTGTGTCATATCTGATGATAGTGATAGAGACAAACTAAAAGTAGTCCAATGGCAGATGTTGTTAGGGTGTACAAAGATAACCTTTCAATATTCCAGGCTATATCATAAGACAGGGTGGTCAGTCACAATTCCTGGGCTCCACTGTGACAAAAACAAGAATAGACCTTCTGAATCCCCAACAAGCATGTCATAGGAGTCGACTAATTGGGGACATCCTTCAGGACTCCAGACCAATCTTGGTCAGTAATTACTGATATTTGCTGTGTTGCGCTACCAGATTTGGGAACAAAATATTTGGATTTTTGAAATTATATGAGATGAAAGAAATGGTGATGTATGTCGTTTTGACAGTTCTATAAATATATAATATAATTAATTATATGAAAATTTGGTTCTCCTTAAAACTACGGCTACTTATTATGGAGTACGCCGAAGTTTAGTCCCCTGGCTGCATTGCAATTACGGAGTGGAAAGGAGGGAACGAAACAAATGGCGTACTTACTGTGTGTTGGCGATAGATGCACTGCTGTCATACTAGGGTTAGGGTTAGGGTTTGGGTTAGGGATAGGGTAAGAGGTAGGGTTAGGGGTAGGGTTAGGAGTGGCCATAGTTTTAAGCCTAAGGAGTACCACTACCCTAACCCTAACCCAAACCCTATTATGACAGCAGTGCATCTATTGCCAACACACAGTAAATACGTCATCAGTTCACGCTGTCTATCGCCAACACACAGTAATTACGTCATTTGTTTCGTTCCCTCTAGTCCACTCCGTAACTGCAATGCGGTTAGGGAACTGAACTCCGACGTACTCCATAATAAGTGGCCGCAGTTTTAAGGAGAACCGACAATTTGTCACTAGTGCCTAAATAATATCAGCCATCTAGCAGATTTTTATCATTTTGGGGAAGAGGTCCTCTAGACTCTAGAGATATCCCATTAAAATAAATAGCCAGTCCATTTGTCGTCTAACATATCCGCATACTATGTAATGTAATAATGTGTACATATAGTACATCATATAGATATTCACTATTCACTGAGTGAAGAAACAGAAAATTGAAACAGTTGATCGTCATTATTGAGAACAAACAGTCAAACCCAGAGTGTTTGACTAAAACATCCCTTACTATCATTGAGTATTTCAACAAAACAAATAACACTTCAGTACATTATTAATACTAGCAAACGAATATTAGAATCTAATGTGACTTACCAAATAAAATCATATACTTTACAAATCTATGTGTACGTCATATGTTCCGTAGTTTGTTTCTTTGCCGCGACAGTTTTTACATTGACATGTCATCATCATCATCAAAGGTCTCTGCTGGGTGACGCCTTTCACAATGTCCCAACGTCGTTATTAGTCTGGTGGTCTCCGCGACGAGGTTGGCAAGCTGTTTGCCTCGCTCTCTGAAGGTCGTGGGTTCATTTTAAAGCTGCGCTGTTCAGTTAACAAGTGCAGTTTTTACGCAGATCCCTGGAGATCGTCGCCAGAGCTAAAGAGGTTATACAGAGAGTGACCGAGCTATATATGTGATAAAACCTGGTGCAATGAAGTCGATACCCTCAACTTTCAGCATTTTTTTAGTATTAGTTCCCAGTTGCCTGCGAAGTTTCAGGCGTCTTCTGTTTATTTCTTTCCGTAATTTTGCTTTCGTGTGCATATTTTCCACTGTAACGTATTTCTTTCTCGTAGACATTGACAGGATACGTTGTTTCGTGCTTCGGTTAAAAAGTTTAATCAAAACAGTTGAATGTGTATGTGCCTGTCTTTTCCATTTCCTCCATTCAGTTTTCTAGTCACAGCCTGTGTTGTATTTAGAACTTTTGGCTTTTTCTTACTCCGCTTCCCTGGGCTTGGTCTGTGAAAAGACGATAGTCCATTTTGAAAACGACTAGACCATCAATCGTCCTGGTTATTTTAATGCTCGTCCAATCCCCTTTCGGGGCTGAACATGCAGCTCATTGCATCCTTATGTTATGTTGCTCAATTTGCGATGTGTTCTCGTTTTACACTAGGTTCTCACGTACCGTCCTCATTTTTTCTTTAAAACTTATAAAAAAAGTTGCATCGACCGGGAATCGAACCCGGGTCACCCGCGTGGCAGGCGAGTATTCTACCACTAGACCACCGATGCCCATGACTTAACATCTGTCTTTTTTGATATGATGTTGTCGATTTAATTCGTTCGTTTATGCAAATAAAATGACAAGCATTCAGTCTGTTCTGCAAAACAAGGGCCAACTATACAGTTATATAACTTATAGGCGACCGTGGGCAAAGCTTCGATTATAATGGCGGGTTGTGGTTTTGCGATGTTTCTTGATTGCTTCTTTTTTTTTCCCGGCAGATAAATCCTGTTTTGTTCTTTCTTTGAAACCGGTACTTTTGCTGCTGAGGTTGGTTTTTTTTAGCCTTCAAGTCACCACATCACGCCGGATAAATTACTTACTTACGTCCTTTTCAGGACGTAATTTTTTCTTATTTGAAGCCCCACTCTGGCTTTTGCCAGGGGCCGCAATATAGGCAGGCCATCAATATGGCCAATTGTCTGAACGCGGTTTCTGGGACCTCTCCACGGTGATCCTCATCCGCATGGTGGCACTTTGTGTCATCGGGTGTTTATCGCTTGTGTGATGTCCTAGTGGGGTACAAAGTCAGTCAGTCAGACATCACGCCGGCCTGAGGTTTCCTCTGATTTGATTTGCTGGTGCTCAATTGTGAGCAGGCTTTTTTTTTGCTGGCAGTATGCAGTACCGGCACCCTTTTTTAAAAACTATTTTTAGGCATAATTTTTTGGGTGCTGAGTAAAAGGACCCCTTTCTAAACCTTCGGGCGTATGGGGTATATAGGGCTAGACCAATATATCCGCAGTCGCGACCCAGTGGACTTCATAAGATTGTCAATTGTATCATACAGATTCATATATGCTGTCTACTGGAAACCCACCTCACTGAAGACACAGTCTTCAAAATCAGAGGTTATCAGTGCTTCCGATCAGACCGGAAAGGCAGGAAAAGGGGTGGAATATTGACTCTTGTGAGGAACAATATCACTGCGTGCCAGACTGAAGTATATATGGATGGAGCAGAATATCAGATTCTGAAACTACAAACTGGAAATGCAGACTTCTACCTGATCAATTATTACTGCCCTAGTGATCGTCCCCAGGCATTAGACACAATCCCAGTGGAAGAAAAGATGATTCTGTGTGGAGACTAACAGCCACTCACAAAGCTAGGGATACGACCATATAGACCAGAGAGATATTTTTAGATATATTTTGACTCCGTTTTTGGATATTTTTCGTCAAAGAAAAGTGGCAACACTGGCAAAGCTTTCAGAGTCTTTGAGAAGCGCGAGCTCCCTCACCACGGCAGGGTGGAGATCTTCTTCTTCCTCGTTCGACATCAGTCATGCTAAACATTGAGTCCCGTCTGGGTCACAAATAGGATTGTGCGTTTAAGGTTGCCACCGGTCCCCCATAGCTTCTCTTTCAATGTGGCTCCCTTGGGCCAGATCCACAGTCTTTGCTGGGAGAGGTAAGGGCAGTACTGTAGTATGTGCCCAGGGGTCTGTCTTTCTGCTCCACAATCACAGGCTGCAGATTCTTTTATGCCTATCCTGTACAGGTGTGCTCGAAGACCACAGTGTCCAGTCCGAAGTCTAAAAATTGTTTGTTCTTTCCTGTTGAGTTTGTTTATGCTGTCACTCTCTGGTCTGTAATCTCCATTCTGCCTTCTCCACTCCCGCTGTTCTGGTTTCCTTGTAGCTGTGTGGTGGATGAGGTTCTGGAAGATTACTCCCAGCTTTTGCCAACTCATCTGCTCTCTCATTTCCTTGAATATACCACATTGGGCTGGTATCCACTGCAAGACCAGTTCTGCTTCCTCGGAGAGTAAGGTGGAGATAGCTTCGGGGAAGTTCCATGTTATAGCTGGGATATATAGAGTTTTGTTTCCCTCTTTCATTAATGAAAATTTATGCCTATTAATTATTAATAATTAACGACAACTTCTGTTGCCATTATTACAGCGCCACTTCCACTCTAAGAAATTCAACTTTTGCAAGAACTGTAACTAGTTAAAAGTTGTTTACAAACATGGCGGGTATCGCTAGTGGACGTCAGTCGACAGCACAGGTACGCCAATCATTGAAAATACAGCCTTACTTTAATGAATTCAGGCGTACCAAATATTAGAGGAGAATTTAGCATATATTATATGTCTGTACAGATAGCAGTTTGGCAAAGCGTATCCCCATTGTTTCGTTTATTAAGCGTTTCCAGCTCAGTCAAGTTTAAACTTGCAATGAGAGTGTAGTTTATAGTTAGTAAGTTAGTAGCAAGTTACTAACTGCAAAAAAATTTTATAAGTAAAATAAATGTAAACATTATTTTAAAATC